TATTCATTTACTCTCATCTTATCCTAGCGTAGAAAGATGTCCATATGCGCGTTGATTGGTATCCCCCGTGGTCAAGTATGTCACCAATTTCCTCCCCTTCAGACACAGACACGAAAAATGCACACAAGCACCCGCACACACATCTCGTGACATATATCTGGCCTACCTATTCTTTTAGCTTTTAATTTCATATCCTACGTCTCACAGGTAGACCTTCCAGGGTAAAATTTTTTGGCCGATTTTAGGTTTGATTCCTCTCACTACAATTAACTTTTCTTGACTTCCTTTTGTTTCTCATGAGCCGCTACTTAGTGATGTTTCTTCCTGTTGTTGAACAGTTGTCCTGGGTCTAAGCGTCTTCTTTTTCAAGTCTTTGCTAATTCCGCAAGTCGGCCCTGGCAGTACGCGAAAATATCGCTTTCCATTTCTTTTTACAATCTCTTCTTCATAAGATTTCTTTGAATAAGGATGTTCACAGTCTCCATGATCTTCCGTTTTATTGTGTTCTCTCCATTTGAGGCTAATTATTTCTTTACACTCCAGTCAATTTTGTAGCCGGTAAGGGCGATCTCTGATCTTTGGGTATCCATTTTTTGCATATTCGCTGGTGTTCTTTGATCATTATGTTGATTGTGCTTCCCGTGAATGATATATTTTTGTTTACAGTTTTTGTAATTTATGCCGTACACTTCGAAGCACTTCATTTTGTTGACTTCTTCCTGTTGGTTGTACAAGCTGGTACACAAGGTTGTCTTTTCCTTCAGGTTTGTATGAATGTTCAACTTCAATAATATTCGCCTCATAGCGTTTGGTTGAATCCTGTCTTCTCAACTTGGTCGCAGCATCAGGGAAGCCTTGTGCAATGTATATAGTTCGGTGCTATAGTATTCGTGATTTACGGCTTCACATCATTCACCTGGTACATTCCCAAACGTTTTGCTGACATCGTAAGCACAGAATAACAACTTATCAAAGTTACAATGGGAAGCAATCCCCTTGGCAAATCTTCTGTTCAACCGCTGTGTCTTCAGTGCTTGCCTCTATTTTTCGATCTACTTTCTAGTGCTCCATCCCCTTCTCTCAAC